CTACAAACGTAAATCAAAGAAAAAAAGAATAAAAAGTAAAAATACATAAAACTAAAAGTAATCATAAAAGTGTATGAGGAGGAAAAGAAATATATGGCATTATTAATGAAATAAAAATGCGTAGTACAGAAACGGAAATTACATAAAAGAAAATACATAAAAGACACGGTGACCGAGTATATAAGCTCTCGCCGCTCAGTATTTAGTAAGTATAATAAAGTTATGGTAAACTTATGGTAAACCGTTCTGTCACGCATACGCCGACCGCACGCCAATGAGCGCGAGAACCGTTATATTTATGAGATTAAAAGGGTGACATGATCACGCTGCACGCAACTGCAAAGTAGAGAGTGCGAAATTTTCTCGACTTTTCTCGTAATAACGCCAAGTCGTCTGAAAACGCCACGACCAGGATGTTAATTTTCATATCGTTAATCACATATATACATATAACGACGGGTACATAGACGTAGAGAATTAATTCGCGACACGGGGCATTCCGAGATTAGTATCTCTTTTCCCAGCAGCCTCCCCTGCGGATGCAGCCGCGCGTAAATCCTGCCCACCTTATCGAGGGGTTTTCTTGCGGGACCTTACTTCATAAAGTAAGTCTGTCCGACAGATTTCCGGTGGAAAACACCCGGCGTCTATGCGTAAACAACGACAGTCCACGCCCACGTGTAGACACATGCAAACGAGTATCGAACGCCTATGCAACAATTCCATATTCGTTTTATGTACAAACGCGCGCGCGGCGTGCTATCGTTTCACTCGAAAAATACAAAACATGAATGAACCGAACACTTTATTCTCTATTTTTATCCTCCTCCGTTGTATCTAGCCATTCTGTTTCTCAATATTCCCGCGTTATTCTGTTAGTCCCGAAAAGTGACGTCGTCCACAATGAGATTTTAGCAATGTCAAATTTTAGCTTTAAGCCTCAAGTAAGAAATTAACCAATCATAATCAATTTTTCTCTTCACATCCGACTGTAATTAATCGATATTTTACGGTTTAATTATACTATATCTATATCGTATTTCGAGACTTACACTACGTTAAAATCAACATTTTAACATTTTAAGGAGAAAGGTTGATATTTTAAAGTTAGTCTCATAAAGATAGCTCGGGTGATCGACAAATCCCGATAAGGCGCAGAGTGACGACTGCATGCTCGAAGCGATCTCGCCCTGAAAGACAAAAGGGAAGTAGTTGTACCGAACGAAATTACCGCACGTTGCATACAATGGGCGGATCTTCTTCTCGCCGATAGCGGATGATAAACGTGGCTGCATTATTCAAAAATAAATCCCCGCGCGCGCGCGATCTTGCATTGTGTGTGCGGGTGTAATAAATGTTCTCGAACAAAACGCATCCTTCTAGGGTAGTGAAGATTGGGGTTGCGGCTGAGGGCGTTGGAAAATCTTTGCAAGATAGAGATGGTAATTTCCCCCTCATCGAGCGAGTACGTAGGCGTTACTTCTACCGTGTCTTCGAATTCATTAACTTGTAGTTATTTTATTATTGGCGCCGGAACGCGAATCCCTGGAATCTCTCACTGTTTTTTAAGTACGTTTTTTAAGCACCGCGCTGTCAAAACAAACGCGAAATGTTGTACACGTGGTTCGATGGTCTGTTTTTGACCTTTCACGCGAGAAAGAAAGCTGTAACGCGTGACGCGGGATGTATGCAAATATTACCAGTCCTCAACTGTACAGTCGTAAACAGAAAATATATCATCTCGTTTTATCTTCTTCTGACGGGACCTCCGACGCGCTAAATATCAAAGAAAAATTAAGCGTGACATTTTATTCTGCTCTAAAAATATCATTTAAGTGCTTGTAAATCAAAGAGGAGTCGCACGTGCATATTCATATACTACAATTCATTCGAAGAATCATATTATTGTCGCGATACGTAATAAACATTGTAGTGAGGAATCTATTTATCATAATTCAAAGAAATACGAGTGATATTACCGTTTAGCTGTATGAAAATAAAATTTCCGTATTTAGTTTCCGTAAAATAAGCAAATGTAAAAAAATTTTTTTAATTAAAAGAGGCGTACGAAGGGATTAACAGTTGCTATCATACGGCTTAATCTGTCACGATTGCAAGACGATCTCTCTACTTACACATATTTATTTTAACGGTGCTTCTTCCATTTAATTACTATAATAACTGCTTCTCTACAACATAATCAGCATTCTTCTGACGTTATCTGTCGTATATACGCGTTGGCTTTAACTCATCAACAAACTTTTACATCTTGTTAAATAATTATCGCGGATTTTCCGAAGATTGAGAACATTATCGAAGACAACATTATCAAAGTTGAGATGAGACTCGTGCAGATCTCGTTACTACATCTTCCTCGTAGTTTCTTCTTTAATGCCCGTTTCTGTTTAATGTAGTTTAATTTCAATCTTGGTTCAACCAAAAAACTCTTCAGTCTTTTCTATAGTTTTAAAAATTACAAAATCCAACCCAGATCGGTTCAAACTTGAAACCCACTGCAGTCGAAAACGCAAAAGTCTCCTCGAGCAAGGATGGAGATATATTTTTACAGACGTTCTACAGACTCGCGACGCGGTGCAACGACTATACACGCTGAGAAAGGAGTCATTCACGTCTCTCGTTAGAAGTTTTATTTATCGCGTTTATACACGTACGCGTATGCACGCACATATTCATTTTGGATCCTTCGTCGAGATCAGTGATCTCTCTCGGTCGAATTCGCGATGCGTTATTGAGACCGATATTTAAACATCCTCACGTGTATCTTGACTTTTCCGAAGGTGTCTGCGATATCTCGGCAGACACCTCGGGGTCGTGGCCTTTTCGTAGGAGTGACTGATGGTACTTCTCGCTTGCGAGAAACGTGCGAACGTCGCGGCACGACGAGCGAGAGATCTGTAGTGTTGGCAACGCCGAGATCTTTTTCGTAAACTTAGAGCTACATATATACCTATATATACACACACGTGAAATTCCGCGTTAAATTAAGAAACGTGATTCAAATAGCAGCAAGGGATTATGCGAGACACGTGTGTCTCAGGGACATAAAGAGGGACTTAAAAACGGATAACGGCGAAAAACGATAAAGCAACGACCACGAGATGCCTTCGGCGAGATCGCTCGCTTCTCGAGGACGACGTGCGCTCTCATCTTTTCGAGAGCGCACAGCTGCAGACGGAGAGTGTGGGTCGCAGACAGCCCGCAGGAGCCGCGTGTCGTAAATTTAGTCCGCCAAGGCGGTGCACTTTATTTCCCAGCACGAACGAAAAGCGCCATGCCCGCGACATTTGCCTGAATTGTAAGAGAGTTTACTATCGATCGACGGTGGCCGGTATCGCGGCGCTCGGCTCGGTGCGAGAAAGCTGCGTCCGTTGCTTCTCGAGAGTTCGCTTAATTAATTCTCCAGAAATGGAATGAATCGCGCTGATCGCTTCGTTCCGATACGACGGTCAAAGTTATTAAATCACAAAAATTCCTGGGCAAATATACGGTCGCGAGTATAGACGCAGAAACGATGGCATATCTTGCCGTAGATCGCTTTTAAAGGAGAAGAAACCGTTTTCCGTACACTACATTGAAAAAATACTAAATTTTAATAAATATTTATCTGTGTGAATAGTTCCAAGTAAATATTTAATAAATGTATATATATATAATATAATACATATATTGTATATATTTATTTATTTGATATACCTTTGACCATTAAATTGATTCAACTATTTTTTAAATAAATATTTACTTGATACTATGCAAAGAAATATGTACTAAAATTTAGTACATTTTTTTTCGATGTGAGTCTGCTCGGTCGCTTCGCAACGTAGCGAGACTTGAAGAGGAGCACGTTCTATCGGATAGAAAGCTGTTACCGTCCGGATAAAATGTCAATATAATTATCGTCGTTGTGACTATTAATGTCGAGAGCGATGTCTAATTCTCCGCGATTTAAATGTATAACAGAGCGCGCGATAGTACTTTTACATCGCCTGTAAAACGTTATTAAAAATCTCGGGATTTTAAATGCAAATAGAGAGACGTATGTCAATCAAACAGTGTATTATCTTACCATAACATAAAAATATGTATCGAAAAAAAGAAATCCTCGACAATCGCTGTAACACGATCATCGTAACATCGCGAATAATATTTTTGCTGTGCTCCGAATGACTGACGTGGATTCTGCAACAACGAGAATAACCGTATTAAATACGCTTATTTGCAAAAGTAACTGAATGTGTAAGTTAAAAAGTTGATTAAAATCGCCAAGCTTATCATGATGATTTATTCATTAGTATTCAAGATCGATCAAATGATTTGAATAGTCGAGGTGAATACTCATTTTTAGCTCTTTTTATAGACACTCTGTACATCTGTAATGTCTGTAATATCCGTAAACTGGATACGATCAATTGCATGGCATGAAAAAAAAAAAAAAAGAACGAAGAGTAAGGTGCAATCGGATGACCTCTTGTTCACAATATTGCAGGGAAATCGATGAAATTTCAGCTTCAAACTCCTCGCGTGCACAAGAAACTCGCGGGTGTGTCCTGGGAGGCTTTAGTTGCGGAAAGATCGTTATTCGGCCGGAGCGATCGAAAAATAAAGTGGCAGGTGTACGTCGACAAAGAATACTCAGCGGCCGCGGCTTAATAAAAACGAGGAGATGGCACGAAACTATAAGTTACGATCTGGCAGCACCTGCTTGTGTTTATTTCCCGAGAAAGAACAAGCACGATTGCGTATAAATATTGAAAACTTACATTTTGCCGGAGAAAGTAATGTACAGGATGTCCGATAATTGGATGCGTGCAGAATAATAATAAAACAAGACGCGTAAAATCGAAGGTAGCGACTAATTACAACAAAGAATCACGGAACGGTTTAATTTTCGCAGCCAATATATTTCATGGGAATCCCTGTATATTCTATGCAAAAACGAGGAGCGATGCGATATATATCTGACGTGTGGGAAAACAATTTACCTGGTCGGAGAGGGCGGACGGCATCCGACAATTTGGCTATATCGGCCGCATCGTAACGAACAATTTCGGGGATCTGCACGTAAGAGCCCAAAAAACAGGAAACCACGTTCCTGGCGTACCCCACCTCTCGCTGCACGCGTGTTCTGCCGCCATCCGGTGAAACCTCGCCTGGTAATGACTTCCGGAATCGTATTACCGTGCGCTCCTGAAAGACCAAAAAATAAACTCAATAAAGCCAAACAATCGCATATTTCGAGCGCTTTATACAAACTCGATTTTGACAAACGCGTCGAATGGTAATGTCAATTCTAAATATACGCGCGTATAATATTACATTTTTATATTTAATTCCGACATTCTTACGCTGTGAACACAGCTAACGAAATAGGTGCAAAATTACAATTTCATTTATGTATATAGAATCACACGTGGAGGGAAAATCGCGTGAATATATAAAAAAAATTCAAGGTGGACGCACAATTGCAGCTATTTTCCTTCTGCCTGATGGTCTGAACCTCCGGACAAACGATCCCGCATTTTCTATGCGCCTGTAAGTACGATATATAAAAGGTGGCTTGCCTTATCACGAACAGATCAATGCCTTCCAACCTGGCGACAGCGCAGCCGGCGAGTATGTAGGTCGACTTTATGAAAAATTCTCGGGTTAAAGATAACGGCCGAGCCACTCTCGGCCGTTGTTTCCAAGCACACTCAACTTCGTCATTGCAGCCTTTACGAACACTCAATCGAAAATCGAGGTTCTAGGACACTCCAAAAATTCATTCGCTCGGATTTCCTAATTTTCCCTTCATAACAAGTATTAACTCTCCGTAATCCAACGTTTTTTTCACTGCTTATATGCCCCGTCCAACTGGGTCACTGGTATAGCTGATTGTGTTTTTCAAAGAGTTTTTACGCTCTAAAAAAATTCGAAAATATTTTGGTCATCACTCCTTCAACACTCAAGAATACGATTTTACAATGATATGACGTGAAACGTTTTCCACTTTTTTTTGTCCGTATCCGAATCCGAGGTAGAATAATTAAAAATTGAAAATTCGTCTGGATCTTTAAAACCTCGGTTGAGAACCATGGAGGGTTAAGACGATGATAGTTCGATATTTCGATTATGAATAATCATTTCTTTTTTAAGCTTTACTCATTCTGTCTTCCATTATATATTTTCTCACACCCTAAAGTTGAGAGGAATACCGACAATTCTAGGACACCATTCTTTAAACGATCCGAAACCTCTTAGATAGAACGCGCAAAGCAATTAACCTTCCGTCTGCAATAATATTTTTACTCCCTCAGCCAAGTTTTTTTTTATCGTTTCTTAGTGGGCAAAGATACCCTAAAAAGTAATAAAAAATCAATGTTGAAATATCGTAGCAAAATCAGAAGTTTTATAAAATAGATATTTGAAATCACTTATCTGTAGAATTATACGTGGATAAAATAATTAGTTTTTCTTTAATAACAATAGAAAGTCAAACATAGAGAATGATATCTTTAACTTATTCTCGTAAAATATGTTTTTATCTGAAAATTTATGAAATTTCAAAATTTATGATCTCTTTTATCTGAACCTTATGGATGAGAAAAACAAAATTATGAGCATTGAAGGTTGCAATATAATCATAAAGTTTAAACAATTATAGCGTTTTTCATTGGCGCACTCAGTGCACATTAAAGCTGTTGTACACTATTCTAATCTAAATATAAAAGCGAGATATCTCAATTGATAAAATGCCCAAAATTTATTTTATCAAATAGCATAATAAAATGTATCGAATATTTCACGGTTTAATTCGTTTATATATTTTTATTAAACGTATATCTTTACGTCGATTTTTGTACAATGGCTTTAAAGTGCACTGAGTGCGCACTAGTTCTGCCAATGAAAAACGCTATTAGACCCGCTTTCACAATATACGTAGTAACCTAAAGATTAATGATTACCATTAAATTCATGAATAAACTTCATTGATGAATCTCTTGGTAACCTTTAGGTAACCACATATTGTGAAAACAGACCTTAGTCTCGTAATATATATTGATTTTTGCTATCCCAGGCTCCAAAAGATTCCACATTTTTTTTTAAAAAGAATGATACTATTGCATTTTATTATAGGATATCCACTTCAAGACTGATTTGTATACATTTCCATTTTAATAAACGCATTTAAATTTCTCAAGAACTAGACAAGATATTAAGAATTTTTTTTTTTTTTTTTTTTTTTTCAAGTTGTAATCGAGGAAGATATATTATTCAAGTTGATTTCAAAGAAAATATATTTTAATTTTAAAAAATTGACCTTGGATGAGAGCATCAAGATAAAATAAAGTTTAACTTTATTTTTGAATTATTAAAGCTTATGACTAAATCAATTAGCAAAAAATTAATAATTGGAAATTGGAGTCTAGAAAAATCATTTCTGACATAAGAAGCATATTACAAAAATTAATTTTCCAACAAATTGTTATAAACAAATTATTGCAAAATTTTGGGCAAAAAATTTCCAGATTACAGATGGAAGGATTAATAATGTAATAAATATATCACTGATATTTTATATATTACGTTACAAGACGTTACAAGACGTTTGTCTGAACGCATCAATCTTTTATTTCAATTAAATAGAAATGAGATAGAGATGAGAATAAATCAAATAAAAAAGATTTCTATTTTCGGTCGAAACGAATCTTGTTGTTTAATAATTCACATATGTAGATTTACAAATACATTATTCAATTGTATAAATTGCGCACCGATTCGAATTTGTCAGATTTGAAAGGCAATAAACTGAAGCCAAAAATAACAAATCACAAATTACATTGATCGTCAAGTTAATAATGATGCTAATAAGCATCTTGAAACACTGCAAAAAAAACTTTTTTACGAGAAAGTGGCGTCGAATCTCATTCGAGATTTCGAAAGGCAGTCATTACTAGCAACAATTTCGCATGGTTTGGACAAATAAGTGAATGTAACCGTTACTTAATAAGCGTAGCGCATTATGTGCTGTGATTTTCGGCAAGGCGGTCGACACGTTTGATTACGGCAAATATCACAAACCATATCGAATTTGATAGTCTTATATGGAAAAACGAGTGATAACTATAAGCATCGATTCGGCACCTTGCGCTCGTTTTTATGATTTTGATCTACGATCGCGTCTTGATTGCGATTTTAGATGAGTATCGAACCCGTGAAAATCCAATTTAGTCGCTTTCTTGAACAAATTGATCGCATCACTTTGAACGATTCAAGATTCAACGTTGAAAATGATTGTCCATCGGCTGAAGTCAGATCAATATTTCGTTTGGTGGCTCGCTGCGATTTTCGCAGCAGGCTGTAATCATCAATTCAAAGTATCGCAATAAATGGCGACGACATTAATTACCTGGGTGGGTGCGCCAGTCATCTTCTATGTGGGAAACTGACCATGCTATTAACTGGCCGACGTTTTGTCATGCAAAAAGACAGGAGATGAACGTCCGATCGTCGGCCCAATAATGATGTACGGTGAATGCTCGAGGCAGTTGCTACGCGTTCCACTTTGCTGACCGTTCGCCGCAATATTCGCGCAAACTATTGACGATTCGATTACCAGAGTCGCGATTGCCAGAGATGAGCAACGTCAATTATTACAAAAAGAAAAAGATATATATGTATGTATATAACATGACGTCGTAATTTATTTAAGTAAAAATTTATAAATAACTTCTTTACTTAATTTTTTAGAAATTGCGTGTGTGGGTGTACAAGCTCTTGAGAAAATAAAAATCATCCGTTGCTCCCGTCAGATTGATATCTCGAGGTTTACATAAACATATTCATATACACATGTATTTGAATTTCAATTATTATAACAGCATGATAGAAGATACTATGTTATTTTATAGAACGACGTGATGCAATGTAAAGATAAATATAAGCTGTAAAAATGATTGTATCTCTTTTATACATTTTTTATAGAAAATATAAATTTTTAGAGGAAATAACGGAGTATCGGAAAATGAAGAATTCAGAATTATCGGGCTATCTTTTATCGAATTTCAATTTGTCGTTTAATAATATTTAGCAGGTAACAGTCGTCGAAGCGAGGAAACATGAGGGAAACGCGAACGCTTTACGCCCATAAAAATCATAAATAATATACATATTTAATGAAGTTCAGTTGATGAAGGAGCTTATTAACCTTATAGGCAACGCCATTAACTATCAGGAAAGCGTGTTAAACAGAGCAACGCCTAAGCTTTTTAACATGCGCGCATAATACTGCATATTACATGCGGCATTGTTCTACAACGACATTCGCCGTGATGATTCACACGCGTTCAACGTGTTCCGGATTCGTGATAATCGTGATTCGTGCGTCGGTGTGAAAATAGTCAAATACACAATAAAATTTGGAACGTTCAATTTCTCGCGCTTCAAATCTTTCAAGAGTATGCGACCCGGCGTGAACCACTAATCGATATATAGGCTAAGCCGGCTGACGTGGCTGCAAGTTTTTCATGCGTCACGTCTATTAATGCGGCTGTATATACCTGCCTGCGTGCGTCGCTTTTTTTGCCGACAAAAGTATATCTCCACGCGAAGGATTTAAATATACACGATTACGACATGCCTATAAAAATATTGGATAAATCGATACAGTTAATTTGAATTAAAATTCTCATTCAATAAAATTATATAAAATAAAATTATGAGATTAATAGTTAGAATTCAATTCGTTTTATAATGTCGTTATTAAATCATGTTAATGTTGACCGCGTGAAAATAAAACATCAAGAAGCGATAATCAATGTGCAATATTGAGACTCGTGCAGTTTCAGACTTTTGACAATAATTGACAATTTATCTTTACCGATGATGAATCCACGACGCACGCGCTATAAAAAGATTGATTGGCAAACGATCCGTAACGCGAATTAAATTAATTACCTACAGAACAACATCTCGACCGGGACGAAGCACAAAATGCTAATCTACAGTTGCGTAAGCGAAATTAAACAGGAGATCGCAGGAGGCGCGTTTCGACCTCGTTGAAACGCTCGACGTGATCTATCGTTTACATTAAACCGCCTATAATATTTCTACGCGAGTAGTTTTTAATAGCTAATCCGATAGTACGAGTGACCCCAAGAATAACATTCATTCTTTCACACAACGCAATGTGTCCAAGTCGAATAGCT